TGCTAACACTTGTGATGGTATCTTGCGCCTTCCAGAACAGTGATTTGTGCAGCCCAGCATTGCCTTATGGGTTACAGCCCCGGGGAAAGCTGGGGGGGAGGGGTACTTGCTGGGGGGTGCCTCCAAGGGCCATCTTTACCTCTTCCCTTCATATCAACCTCAGACCCCCCCGCCTCACTTTCAGAGTGGCTGTGGTTTCTCTGTTATACCTTTCAGGTGGTCCTAATACATGGAGGGGCGGGGGTTGGGGGGGGTGGGAGGATGGGGGAGAGACAGACCCTTATTTATTTGTTCTCCAGGTTTATTGAGATATGATTGACCTATAACGTGTAAGTTTAAGGTGTATAATATATTGGTTTCATACATTTGTATGTTGCAAAATGATTACTACTGTGGAATTAGATTACACCTTCATCGTGTCACATAATTAGCATTTCTTTTTTTGTGGTAATAGTACCTAAGATCTGCTCTCTTAGCAACTTTTAGGCATGTAATGCATTGTCACTGCTGTGATTGCCACGCTGTGCATTAGATCCCCAGAATTTACTCATCTTGTTACTGCAAGTTTGTACTCTTTGGCCAACCTCTCCCCATTCTCCCCACCACAGCCCCTGGCAACCACGATTCTACTTTTTAAGATCTTGCTTCCATGCAAGTTAGCTTCTCACCTTCTTCTTCTCTTTTAAAATCATCACTATATTTATTTTTGTTGGGTTACTTTCTTAGGTTTGTCTGCCTTTACAGAAGAAGTAAGTTGCATGGGCCTGAATTTATTACTTTAGTTTGTTCATTTATTATTGATTTCAGCGTTCACTCCTGAGTCGTTTGCTGGGTAGTTGGGTGGGTGCTGGAGATTCCAACTTAGAGGCTAAGAAGGAAATTCAAGGAGGAGTGGAATTAAATTTTAAAGTAATGCTCTCTTATCTGGAATACTCTTTCCCTGAAGCTTGAGGCTCTCATATCACATCTAGTGTAATTTTTTTTTTTTTTTTTGATTCTCATAAGACCTCTCTGAACTTGATAGTGGTTGAACTTGTAAGTGAACACATGATGTGCATCGGGTCTGAGATTATGGCCTAACGTGATGCTACTCTTGGTGACACGCCTCTACCCTGTACCTGATCTTTTAAGTGAAACAGTACACAGCTCATATGCATGATTTCTTTATCTCTGTGCCCAGACTTTTCTAATGGCCTGGCTTAGCTTCACTTCTGCAGCCTGAACGCAGAGAAAAACGCAATGTGAAAACAAGCACATTTAATTTCAAAACGTTTCACTTGGGTTCAAACAGTTAAGATCATTAGAAAATACTTTAAAAATTAATAAAGTTAGAACTCTGCCCTCCATCAGAAACATTCTTGTTGAGTTAAAAATGATGCTATCGCTTCGAGTGATAGCAGTCTGTTTAGACTGGGTTTTCTCTGTGTGCGGGGCGTGAGTTTGCCAATGCATTTTAATTCTGGTGCTTTGCTGGAGTCTCTCTGATTCACCAGATCTGGATGGGATAATCAAATCTGATTGCTGGCATTGGGGATTGTCCAAAGCCTCACCAAGGGCGTGGGGACTTGTTGGAGAACTTCTTTTTCTCCTTGCTCTGGTTCTAAGTCTTGTTCGGGCCCCACTGTGCCTTGTATTTAATTTCCTCAAAACCACTTCAAGGTATTTGCTTGTGTCGCCCACTTTAGTATAGATTTGGGAAAACGAGGGAGGGATTTACAACACATATATAAACAGAGTTAACGTTTGATACTGGATGGACCTGCTCTTGAGTGGCCCTGGCTTTGCTGTGGCTGAACCCTGAACTCCCAGCATCAACTGACACTCCTTTCTCACCTTTTCTTTCTTGTCTTCCGGCTTTTTCAGGGTTTGCACCCTCTTTGTTCTGTCCTTTCCCTCTCAGGGTATAAAGTCAACCCCTTCCCAATGTTTATTTATTTTTAAATTTTATTTTAAATGCAGAGCAGTTAAGATCTCACTGGTGCCAACAGCCAAATGCAGTTTGGTGCCTGCGTTTGTGTATTTAAGGATATAGTCTAATTAGAAATGATCCGTTGAGAGGTCCTTCTGCCTGAATTCTTGGGCAGTGGCCGTCTTCAGCCTCGTTTATGTCTTGGAGGTGAGCCTGGAGGTGAGCCTGGAGGTGGGGATAGGACTGCCATCTATAGAGGAAAAGGCCAGGTCCCGATTTGAATTCTGGCCTCACTTCCCCGCTGTGTGGCCTAGGACAAGTTACTTACCTTCCCTGAGCCTGGTTCCCTGTCTCTAATGTGGGGATAACGTTACTTTCTTGCACGTTGCAGAAAGGGTAAAACTGGATAACATCCAAGCAGCAGAAAGGATAAAGTGGAAAAACACTTCTGAAGCACCTGGCTGAAGGCACAAACTCAACAAATGTTCGTTTCCTTCGCTTTCCACCGACAAACGCTTTCCTTGAGGGCTACATATGTAAACATTAAATATTTATCAATTGCATAATTCAAAAAAAAAATGAGACTTGAAAAGGAATCTTACTCTGGATGTTTTGATGAAACAAATAATCCTCCCCACTTGTCTTTGCGGCGAATCTGTACTTTTATTTTATTTTTTTTAAATTTTTTTTTCAACGTTTATTTATTTTTGGGACAAAGAGAGACAGAGCATGAACAGGGGAGGAGCAGAGAGAGAGGGAGACACAGAATCGGAAACAGGCTCCAGGTTCTGAGCCATCAGCCCAGAGCCTGATGCGGGGCTCGAACTCACGGACCGCGAGATCGTGACCTGGCTGAAGTCGGACGCTTAACCGACTGCGCCACCCAGGCGCCCCGAATCTGTACTTTTATACGCAGCTTATGACATTTGTGTACATTTCTCGGCACAGTGAGACTTGATTGAACCCCGGCTCTCTCTGCAGCTTCATAGACGTTGCAAATACTCGGTGCTGACAGTGTGATCTGAGCCCATCTAAGTGACTGTGGCCTAGAGCTGCCCCCAAGGTGTGACTTGAGGGCAGACCTAGCAGAGCTGAATAGGTAACGAGGACATAAACACTAGCTAAGGCCTGGGGTTTGGTCGGACAGCACTCACACAAGCACGGTGAAAATGGATCTTTTACTAGCAGGAAGGAGTTGCCATGTGTCTTCCTCTGAAGCAGGGCAGAGCCTAGCGTCTGATGAATAAGTGATAGTTGTCAATTAGGTCACTTAGACATCAGCTAAGACAGCCTGTACACATCCCACACGGCCGGATTTTGAATCCTGGGGTGCCAGAAACAGCCTCCAGGGTAGGAGCTCATATTCTCAGGGGCAGGAAAGAATAACCTGGAGCAAAAGGGATTTTTTCCCCCCCTGTTGATCAGTCAGTTGTGTAGGGGTCTCGGCCAAATCTAGCGCACAGCCTGTTTTTGTATAACCCATGAGCAAAAGAATGGTTTTTGCATATTTAAAGCATCGTAAAAAGAAAAGAAGAACATGCAACAGAAACCGTATGTGGCCCACAAAGCCTAAGATATTTACTCTCGGGCCCTTTATAGAAAAAGGTTGCTGATCCCTGGCCTAGAGAGTCTGAAATACCTCAGATTAAGGAAGGCAGAATGTAATGACTGACTTGTTCAGTTGGTCTCATTTGTGGCAGACACTGTCTGCTTTAACAAAGCTTAACGGGCATTATTTAGGATAAATATAATCACATTTCAGTATTTAATTGGGTCCTGTTATCTCCCTATGGGGTTATTCCAACTGGGTCCGTGGAACGGTGTCTCTGTTTGTTGTTCCAGAAGTAGCTCATGTGTCTGTCAGCCCCGTCTGAAGGCTCCACCTCCTTACCACAGCTCACCTGTTCGAAGGTTCTTCCCACACTCTCCCCTGGCCTGAAAGGGATTGGCAGAGGCCAGCTCAAGAAGGACCGCTGGGGTCTTTTCCACCCTATTCTACACATGCCAAGTCTCAGCGGGGGAGTGTGTGATCCAAAGCCAATGAAATATACGTGGCGCAGAAGTCTGAGCCTGGGAAGTGATTATCTGTGGGGGGCTCTGGTACATGGATGGAGCCTTCTGGAAGAAGTCGGATCTGGATTGGACTCTGCAGGATAGACACAACTGGGGGAGGGCATAAGCAAAGGCCCAGAGGTAGAAGGAAATGACTCATGGAGTGTCGTCCTGCCTCAGGTTGGAGGCTTTTCTAGTAGTGTGAGTTGAGGTTAGATCTTCGATGTGGCCAATGTATTGTGAATTTAAGGTGTGTGGCATTCCAGATCCTGTACCCAGCGAGGAGGAGTCACTGTCATTTATTTACAATAGGAGCTGTGTGTGTGTGTGGGGGTGGGTGGCAGGGTGGGGTAGAGGAATTGTCCAATGACAGGTGGGAAATTGGCTGCTGTTTCTTACCCCCTGACTCGGTGCTGGGCACTGGGCTGAGTGTATTATATGAACCATCTCATTCAACCCTCACAACTCTGTAGGGAAAGGTATTATTATCCCCAGTTTGCAAATGAGGACATTTGGGTTTACAAAGGTTAAAATAACTTGTGCACGGTTCTGAAGTTAAGAGTGGGTAGAGCCATGGCGGTCTGACTTGGAGCCTAAGCTCTGACCTCCTGCCATCCTGAAGCCAGCTCAGTGTAAAACATTGTAACGAAACAGAAACGGGAAGAGTGAACAGCAACTAAAAATTCTGCCTTCCAGGAATGACATTTTGGGTGACAGTCCTTCTAGACATCTTTCTATGTGTATGCAATAGACAGGTATGCATTTTGCATAATCCGTGCCTAGATTGTCTAAATCCTGTGCCTGCAAATTTTACATAAATGGCACCATACTCTATATCTTTTTTTCCCCACCTAACATTAATTTTCCAATTTTAATAAGTGGGTATTTAGTATTTCATGTTATGTCTGCACCCGCATTCACATGACTGGTCCCCTTTAGATCACTGCAATTTCTTGAGCAGGGAAAGAATTTGAGAGCTTTGGGTTTTTTTTTTTTAAGCTTTTTAACTGAATTTCGTGCTTTCTTGCTTTCTTTGCAGCATGCCCTTGACGCTGATAATGCAGGAGTAAGTCCAATAGGAAACTCTTCCAACAACAGCAGTCACTGGGACCTTGGAAGTGCCTTTTTCTTTGCTGGAACTGTCATCACCACCATAGGTATTCATTCCTTTGCTAATATCTTTTTTTGTGGGGGCCCCGAGAAACGGCACTTAGTCAACATTTGGCCCTAGAACGCTGGCAGCTTGAGGTTCAAAGGAGGCTTATGAAACACTGCTGGATAAATGCAGTAGTTGTAGGGGCTTTCAATGAAAGGCAAAGCAGACTAAGGAATTTCATTTTCAAAACGAGAGGCTAGACAGCCTTTAGTTTGAAAGGACCTGATGAAACGATCAGAATAGAAAATCAAAACATGGATTGGTCAGTTGAGCTCAAATTCCTTTTCAAAAATTGTACTTTTTTTTACTACTAGGGTTGTTAACGAAAGAATCCAAAAGTTCTACGAAGTTTGTTAATGAAGCACGACCGTTTCTGCCCCTCTGCCTTTCCTCACCTCCCCTGGGGCAACTAACTACTCTCCTCTCTTTTGATTATTTCAACATTCATTTCCCTGTCTTTATTTTTTAAATTTTTTTTCAACGTTTATTTATTTTTGGGACAGAGAGAGACAGAGCATGAACGGGGGAGGGGCAGAGAGAGAGGGAGACACAGAATCGGAAACAGGCTCCAGGCTCCGAGCCATCAGCCCAGAGCCCGACGCGGGGCTCGAACTCACGGACCGCGAGATCGTGACCTGGCTGAAGTCGGACGCTTAACCGACTGCGCCACCCAGGCGCCCCAATTTCCCTGTCTTTAAATATTCTACTTGTATTGCCACTTCCAGAAGTTTCAGTTTTAGAGATTATTTCTTGACTTCCAGTTGTGAAAGGTGAGGAATCAGAGAGGTCCCCCCAACCATGGTTTTTTTTTGTCTATGGTTTCATTTACTCTCGGTCCACTGTGGTCCAGAAGCAGACAGTCTTCCTTCTGATTCATCATCAGAAGGTCGGTGGTGGACTCATGCTACATCACAATGCGTACATCATTCACCTCACTTTATCTCATCACGTCGGCATTTTATCATCTTACATCATCACAGGAAGGGGAAGGGTGAGTGCAGAACAGTGGGATATTTTGAGAGACCATTCACATAACTTTTATGACAGTGTATGGTTATCATTGTTCTATTTCATCATCAGTTGTCTCTTACTGTGCCTACTGTATAATTAAACTTTCGGGGCGCCTGGGTGGCGCAGTCGGTTGAGCGTCTGACTTCAGCCAGGTCACGATCTCACGGTCCGTGAGTTCGAGCCCCGCGTCAGGCTCTGGGCTGATGGCTCAGAGCCTGGAGCCTGTTTCCGATTCTGTGTCTCCCTCTCTCTCTGCCCCTCCCCCGTTCATGCTCTGTCTCTCTCTGTCCCAAAAATAAATAAATGTTGAAAAAAAAAATAAAAAAAAAAACAACTTTATTATAGGTATGCATGGATAGGAAGAAACATAGTCTGTATAGGGTTTGGTACTGTCTGTGGTTTCAGGCCCCACTGGGGTCTTGGAACATATTCCCTGTGATTCTCTTTCTTCCCCTCTGCCCTTCTGTACAGGGCTCTCTTCCCATCCCCCTATCTTCCCAATATGGCTTAATTCGATCAACAATGAAGGTTTGCCTTATTTTGACCAGGTAAATGCCCTTTATAACTGATCCTATGGTGATCTGTGATTACCTCTTCCCTGCACCGGTTTTTGTCTTATATTTGCGTGTGTCTTTTTTCTGATTCTTGGGGAGTTTTAGATTTTTGTGTTAGGGGTTAACTTTATAATTACAGTCATATATAATAAACTCTGTATTCACTTTTTTAAGCAGTATTTGCTAGTTCTCTATCACAGGTGAAGACATCTCTTCTCTCACACAATTTTAGTCGATACCGTCCTTGTAATGCTTACTTTTAAATTGTTAAATATGCTTATGCTTCTATTTGATGATTTGCCCACATCGAATGATAACTCTTGGCTCTCAGCTGTGACGTAGAATGCAGTCAGTGAACTTACTCAGCGTCTCTACTTCTTTCGCACTTGGGCTGTTGGGTGTTACTCACTGGATCATTCTATAACGTCAGAGTCTGTGATTTACATTGTGTTCTGTTACCTGATACTCACATGTGTTTTAGTCCTGGTCCCACAGTTATATATTGTCAATGTTCAGCCCTGGTTCTTCTGCTGTGGCTTTTCTCATCACCACTTACTTGGCTCAAACTCATCTTCAAGTAGTTGCCTTATGAAGGGCTCATAGGAGGGGCACCTGGGTGGCTCAGTTGGTGAAGCGTCAGCCTTCGGCTCAGGTCATGATCCCACAGTTTGTGAGTTCAAGCCCCATGTCGGGCTCTGTGCTGGCAGCTCAGAGCATGGAGCCTGCTTCGGATTCTGTGTCTTCCTCTCTCTCTGCCCGCCCCCCTGCTTGCACCCACTCTCTCTCTCTCTCTCTCAGCTTTGCTCAAAATATAGCCTTACCCTCGAGGGGCAGTGTGTCTGGAAATGAAATCTGTGACTCACATTTTATTTTTTTGAGGGTCTTCTGGGTGATAATCCACTCTTTTCTAACGTCTGTGCTGCTGGGGAGAAACCTGATGCCAGCCCAATTTTTCCCCCTTTTAGAAGGGATTTTACTTTGTTGCTTGGCTACACAAAGGGCCGTTTCTCTTTCATCTGATAATACAAGTAGGTTTTGTCCCTTTTATTTCAGGAAAGTGTTCTTGATTGTCATCTTTACACATATCCTCTGCCATGTGGTTTTGGTTCTGTTCTTTGGGAATTCTGACTATACATATATTGTCATTACTTTGCCTGTCTTCTGTGTCTATCATTTTCCACCTATTCCTTTTTAAAAATTTTTAAAAATGTTTTTATTTGTTTTTGAGAGAGAGAGAGAGAGAGAGAGAGCGAGAGAGCACGCAAACAAGGGAGAGGCAGAGAGAGGGAGACACAGAATGAGAAGCAGCCTCCAAGGCTCTGAGCTGTCAAGCATAGAGCCTGACGTGGGGCTTGAACTTGTGAACCACAGGAGCATGACCTGAGCAGAAGTCAGACGCTCCACTGACTGAGCAACCCAGGCACACACCCCCCTCCCACCACTCCTTTTTAACTCGGAAAATGTGGTTTCCATTTTGTTCCTGTTATCTTCTCTCTTCCTTTCCTGTTTTTTCACAGTGCCTTTTTTGCCATGTGCTCCTTCCAATTTTATTTTCATTTTTGTGATCATTAGGGGATATTTTTTCCTTTCGTATTTCTTTCCGGAATGCCATTAGCTCACTTTCCATCTTCCCTTGTTATCTCACAGTTTCTTTCCTGATTTCCGGCTCTTCTGCTTTGTGGTTTTGCTGCGATGGTTATTGGAGGTGATTACTTCACAGGTGGTCACACGTTTTGTCTGGTTGAGGCAGCGTTTTTTGACTGAGTGCCTTTCACCTGTTGGTAATATTGTATATTATGTAAGTTCCATGCCCAGTGTGAAGCCCAATACAGGGCTTGAACTCACGACCCTGAGATCAAGAGTTGGATGCTTAGCCGACCGAGCCACCCAGGCACCCCTCTTGCCACCGTTTTAAAAAACAGAAGCTTTGTATTTATGCTGGACCGGTTTCCTTTCGAAATACTTGATGCCAAAAACAAACGATATTCCCGATCCAGCTATCTGCTGAAAGATTCTGTGCGGCCGGAGGAGGAGAGCCGGGAGAGGTAGGGTAACCTTTTAGGTAGCACATCTTTGTCCTCTTTTCTGCTGCCACAGAGAGAGAGGGTTTCCTGCAAGTGTGACCCATCTATGGGATTTTCTGTATAGTCCTGCCTCTTCGGCTTTTTTCTGAACCAGATCAAGTTCAAGGGGGCTTCTGCTGCTCTCTCCCTTCACCCTGTTTTCTACACTTGGTACGAACAAAGATAGTTCTTTTGAAGTTCAGAATGAGAGCCTCACCATCATAATTGGATTTTTGCTGGCACTTTCTGGGATTTTCTACTGATGGGCCTTTTCTTCCTTCTCTGTGCTTCTTCTCTTTATTGTTTCCCATATGGTGTCAGTCCAACCCTTTTGGTAATCCTTACACACATGGGGGAAGCTATAAATAATATTCCTCTCCCAGCTCTGCTGGAAGTGAGAGTTTTCTGCGCCTCTACAACAGTTTAGTCACATTGCAATAAAAATTCTCATTCAGAAGAATGGGAGACACATAGCATCGAGAGGCCCCTCAGCCCTGGAGGTGGAAGGATCGTCATTAACTCCTTTTATGCTCTCTGGGAGGACCTCCCTTGTCTGTTGCTCTCTGAGGCCCAGCTATGCCTTCCCTCTCCTTACCCTTCATGACCATCTCTCAAGTGGGTGTTGGATAGTGTGCCCTCCTTGGGCACTTTGATGACCGACTTCCTATTAGTGCAAGTTTCCGAGGTTGAGGACTGTTTTAGAGGCATAGGCTTCTATGTTTTTAGAAGTTATTGTTTTTAGACCTAGCCTTTAGGACCTGTATTATTTCTACATTGGTGCATTCAAGAAAGTTATATGCAGTGAGAAAATTTGGGATGAGAGAGAATTGGCATTTCTTTTCAGAAAGTCCTTTAATCTAATTATATGACATACCATGTTCACATTTGCAAATATACAAACATAGTAAAATCAGCTCTTACACATGTTGGAGGTGTTCATCACACTATAGTGGGATTGGGTCCTAGAAGCCTTTTGACACTCCAGGCAAGACTGGATCATTTAGTCCACAACTCACAGCTCCCCACAGAGGAAGTGGCACCGTTTGATATAAGGGCAAAATGTGCTATAAAACTCAACGGCACCCGAGAGCATCCCTGCAGTAGATCAGAGAAGACCGGTGTCAGGTTAAATTGTGTCACCAGTCTGGTCAGTAAGAGGGAGAAATGTGCCATGCATTTTTGGAGGATTTATAGTAAAAGGATTAAAATTGAGGCAGTCTGGGTCACTTCAAGAGGTACATTTTGGGAGATGCACTCCAGTACCCAGTGTTGGATCCATGAGACATTAGTATGTGTTAAAGAAGACAGAAAAAGAAAAAAAAAATCCCAATTTTCTTGCTTTGTAAAATGGCTAAATCAGTGGTCTGCTGCAA